CCTTCAAAGAGGACCGCATCGATGATCTTAGATAACAAAAATATGTTGAAATGGGAGTTGAAGGGAAAATATATGAAAATATGGCAATCAGATGCAATCAGGACAATCAGTGCAGCATGGTATCAGGCAATGTAGTACATCCTTGACACGTTCTGTACAAGATACAGCAAATATCGTAGGGTAAACGCAGCGCACACCTAGTGACTTCGTGCCTAGCGGCAGAAATTGCAGAAACAGGGGACGCCTACAAACAATTTAAATGTGTTCCCTAATTGTATATGTGTGTTCTTCTTCCTACCAGTATAGATCTTGAACACACACACACACACCCTACTATGATAATCAATACTGGTTTGATCTATACACATCTGAACATATATCACTCACTTGTAACAGCCCAACCAGGCCCGGCTCACAAACAACCACCGGCCTGTCATCACGGCAAAATCCAAGCTCCAAAGCTCACCATTGTCTAACCCCGGCAACGCCGGAAAGGGTGTGATGACGTCGCTCCAATTGCCCGCCTTGAAAGAAGCCAAATGACCTTGGTGGTTTGGGAGCTGCCAGTCTTTAGCAACTAACTTTTAGTCAGACAAAAAGAATCGTAGACCCCACTTAACCCAAAGACAACTGAAAATCTATAGTCTTCCCAAAAAAGATAGACAAGTATGCTTCGCTTATTCTAATATAGATGTTACTTTTCTTTTTACTGTTTTTTTTTGGGGTGACTTTTTCAGTGTATGGCTATCATCCATCCGGCAGGTGACTCTGGCCCAACATCATGGGCAGCACCAGCATTGACCCAAAGAAACCACTGAAGCCACCCACGAAGAATAGACCACCCACCGAGTTCTCCACGCCAGCACGTTGCAGCAGAAATGCCCCAGCTGCGCACCTAAAAGCTGCAGGTAAGAAACTGCCGAAAGATCACCGGGCAGTTTTACAATCATCCTGAAGTAAATAAAATATGTTTTTTTTAAGACACTAAAATGGAAATAATATTCAAGATTCCATGTCTTGTGTTCTCCAGGAAAACAGACAAATCTTCTGCTTCAACATCACTTGAAGACAAAATGGATTTTTCGAGTGTCAAAACTTAGATGCAGCCTGAAGTGGGGAATCCTATAATTCGACGGGTCAGTTGAATTGGACGCACATTTTGGGCAATGTCTTGTACCAAAACATCAAATTCTTAGTCAAAGTAATTTTGATTCTCCCCAAATTGTTTACACATTTCAAGAGCCCCATGATTTCTTGTATGCGTTTGGATGTTTTTAGTATAGTATATTTCCGTAATTTGGGGATGTCTCACAAAAATCGACAGAAAAAAGAAACAACAAACAACAATTTCCGTGATTGTCCAATTTTGAGGCAGAAGTGCCATAAGTACCCCCCAATTTCCATGCATTTCCTCACGTCACCTCCCCAAACTACCACCCAAGTTCCCCAAATTGTGCGAACTTAATGAATATACATATTATATCATATTATATGCACATATGTATATAATTATACATATACGTACGTATATATTATAGTTAAAGTTGATTACACATTGGAAATCATTAGACGCCATCATTCTAAGAAACCCAACTTCCCCACAGGTGCCCCAACACTTTGCCCGCCTAAACGCCCGACACAGCGCCGCCGCCGCCACGGCTGCAAAGAGCAGATTCTCGCCGCAGCTCTTCGTCGAAAAGGCTGTGGGGACGCTGAGATCTTCGCCGAAGGAGGCGAGGATCGAGGCCGAGGCAAGGCCGAAAGCAGTGGGAAGGGAGAAGAGCACTGCGTTGGTAACCTGGAGCTGTCAATTCCAGGATTTAACATGATTCGACATGAAGAATTGTCAAAAAAAAGGAGTTAACATGAGTGAGTTTGATTTAAACATTTTAAACATTAAAACTGCATGGAGATGGATAGAATGTTATACGATATGATTGATATATGTCGATTATCCCACGTAATGCTTATAACATGGCAAAAATCCGGGGCACGGTGCGGGGCAGCGAGGGTGGCACGGTCAGGGGCTGGAGATCAAAAAAGTAGGACATCTGGTGCTTGGGATAGCTCACTAGCGCGGTCTAATGCATGTCACAACTTGGAGATGATCCCTGGGTAGTGTTGAAGTACATCCTGGCAGAAGTTACTACCCAGGTACTACCCAGGAATCGACCTGACAGTTGCGCCAAGCATTATAGACGCCAAACCGTTTCGGTGACACTTACGATAAGCATTATAATTCTGCAATGGTTAGCATAACTGTTCCAGGATTCCTGGGTAGTACCTGGGCAGTGTCTGGGTAGTCCTGGGAAGTCCTGGGCAATCCTGGGCGGTTCTGGGTTAAGAATCTGATAGCCGAAGCCCTTATGGTCAAAGGAACCCAAACTTGGACATTGCAAAAGTCAAATTCTATTTCCACAGCACTTTAGTTCCAGAACCATGAAAGAACATAGAATTAGCGCCCAGGAACCCAGAATTAGCGCCCAGGAACCCAGAATATGATTTTCACGTTATAAGCATTACATGGGTCAATCAAGATATATGATGGTTATTGCTTATCGATCATGATTTTTGGTCTGAGAAAGATGTAAACAAAATCATTGGAAAAGTGATGGACTGAAGACTGCATGAGATCCATACGGGGATTCATGTTGGGTCAGGTGATGTTTTACATGCGGATACCATCCATTTCTCGGTTTCAGGTCCGGTTTTGAGTCATTTTTCTCAATGAACTGTGATGAACAAGCCGAGGGCCCCACAGCTGGGTTACTGTCTGGGATCACAGCTCCCAACAGGTTTCAACGCAGAAAAGGGGGACAAATGGGTAAAGATCTATAGGAAATTGATGGAAATGGTCCTGGCCATTCTTCCCTCTACCAGCTCTACCAGGTTCCCCAGGTTCTACCGGGTCCATCTCTGTGAAAAGCAGCTGTCGCTGGATATGACAATTTTGCTTGATATGCGATCATCACTGCAGAGAATCCCGCGGCCAACGGAATGTCCAGCGCACGAAGAATGGCCAGGACGATACCCTGCCTGCGAGGCGGCAATTTTTTGGGAGCTGGTGGCCATGGCCATGGCGATGTTTCTATCGGGATTTCTCATCAACTATCATGGAGATGTTTTGTGGGATATGGTAAACACATGTAAACAATATGAAGTAACGACTCTATTTGGGAACCAAAAAAATTATGGCGAACGCAGATTTTCAACGGACAGTTCGGATAGGCTAAAGCCTCCCCATGTGACTGTCCTCTACCTGGAGGATCCCAAGATCGACTAGAACATCGATTTTTTTCGAAGAATTTCCCCGCCAAACCCTTTTTCTCAGGAAATCGATGACCATCTGGTTATTGAACATATTGAAAATCACCAGTAAATTACAGCTAAATCAACTATTTCGACTGGGCCATTTCAATAGCTATGGTAGTCATTGAGGGTATCATCCCGGCTGCCTTGGGTCAACCCTAAAACAAGGCCCAAAAAAACTGCGAGAATCCCTCGGTGATAATTATGCCACAGCCACTTTCGATGGGATGACTGGGATGATGATCCTTGAAAAAATCCCAACTTCATCGATAGAATGAGACTTGGAGGATCATTTTTCATAAAACACGGAAACCATTGGTTAAACCCAATCTCGATGGCTATAATTGAAATCCGGAAGCTATAAAAGTCATTTAAAAACAGGAATAAATAACATAAATCCCAATCAAAACCATCATAACATTCAAGCTTCGAACATTCTATTAATGTGGTAGACCCAATCTCATAAACCATCCCTTAAATCGCCATAGATGCATGCTATAAACAATCCCGAAATGGTAGGTTGCTATTGGCCGTATCATATTAAATTATGAACTGTTGGATACGGAGTAAATATCGTATCATACCTATGGTTTGCTATTGGGTTTATCATATCAACCAAAGTGGCTTTAGAACTTTAGATGATTCTCACATATTAAAATAGGTTCATCTGAACATTGTCCATCTGATCCCTCTGTTCCATTGGTTTCCATCGGGATTCCCTAGTCGAATCCCCGAACTCAAGTTACTGGTTTTAGATGGAATTGTCCTATTGGATTCCAACAAAAAACAAAATATGTTATTCCCTAGTATAATCCCTATCATCAACTCCAATATATGAAGGCTTGTATAATCCCCTATCTCCAGCATATATTGATATTACAACACTGGTGGCTATCAACCAACAGGGCTTTAGCAGCCACCATCTCCTGCCTGGTGGCGGTGTTGCCACATCCCTGTACCACGAAGAAATCCAAGGACGAGCTGCAGCCGTCCAGCACCCCCAGCAAGGCCGCCGCGGCGATGGCGCGCCCGGTGACAGCTGCCGAGGTGAACCACGCCTCGTTGAAGTTCAAGAGATGGTGTTATATAGTTAAATACTCTGTGTACCTATTCATATATATGTAGAAATGGATCAATATGGTTAAATTATATATATATATATCCCTATATATATATATCCCTATATATATATCCCTATATATATATATGCTTAAACAGCACTGTACAATCTGTACATATGTGTATGTATATATATATATATTAATGTATAATTAATATATATATATGGTTAAACATATGCTGTCATTGCATCTAGTGTTGTAACATTGTTTAATATCTGCAAAACGGATATATAATTGGTGGGTGGTTGAAACCAGAAACCACCAAGCAGGAACCAGGGAACCAGGGTGTGTCCTTTAAAATGGTTGTACGGGTAAAGCATATTAAATCAACCACACTGGGGGTGCAATTACTGCGATGTCGTACTTATATACAGTAATGGATAGTACAGTGGTGCGAGATACAAGCATATATTACATTATATTACCAGCAATATGAGGGTGTGTCTCCAAATGGGGGGATAACTTGAATAGATTTGAATAGCACGAAGCTCAAGCTCTACTGTCACCAAAAAGGATCCTATATAGCATCCTTTCGCTCTATCCCGAACCCAAATTCTTCTTATTTCACCGAGGTACACCCTCCAAGTGTCTAAACCACAAGGCTCCCATCATCAAAATGGGCCACGCGATCCACGGGAAGGTCACCGGCGGCAAGGGCGTCTGCACAACTGAGATAATGCCCGAAGAGATGCAAGCCTCGAGATGATGGATCGATGATGGATGCGGATTGCAGGGGATGGGTGTGGCATGGGTGACCGGGAATTGAGGATTGAATTGGGGAGAGATGAGGCTGTAGATTGGATCATTTGGATTGGAATTTCGTAGTATGTCATGAGATTTGTGGGATTTACTCGGACATCCTTCGATCTTTCGTTTTTTAAACGGCAATCCATGTGGCTTTGTCAAGGTCACCAGCCATCGACCACGTTACCACAGGGACAGGGTTTCCCCACCTGCAGTGCTCTGAGCGCCACTGTGCAGGGGAATAGAATGCATGCCACCAATGCAGTGGCTGGAGCTGGCCACGGAAGCTGTTGCCGCTGTGCAAAGAACTTTGTCCTCCAAAGTCTCGTGAACAAATCCACTGGGTGTTGGGAAAAATACGTCTAGGCTTCCCCCTCAACATAGAAGAAAAGGGCATAACCAAAGGAGGGCGATTCTCCCGGCCCCAGTATCTTCGCATCCATCTCCGGAACCAAACACCACCAGAAAAATGTACGCGAAACCAAACTACCAAGCGGTTTCCCTGGTTTCGGATCATCCCTCAGATCACACTGAAATTCGCCTATGGAGAACCCACTATTGGTAGGTCATTGTCCTGGGGGAACATATGGATGTTCCGAATTTCTGGTCGGAGATAGAAGACCCAGAAGAGATGGACTACAAAGGACGACAAAGGACTTGTCGGTTGCCAGTCATCAAAAGAGGTCTATACGTATATTATATCTATAGTGTAGATAGAAAAATTATATATATATACAGATAGATAGATAGATAGATAGACAGACAGATAGACAGACAGATAGACATAGAGATAGACATAGATAGATAGATAGATAGATAGATAGATAGACATAGGTAGACATAGAAAGACATAGATAGACATAGATAGACATAGATAGACATAGATAGACATAGTTAAACATAGATAGACATAGATAGACATAGATAGACATAGATAGACATAGATAGAAAGATAGATAGAAAGATAGATAGAAAGATAGATAGGTAGATAGGTAGATAGGTAGGTAGGTAGATATGTAGATAGGTAGATTGGTAGATAGGTAGATAGGTAGGTAGATAGATAGATCGATCGATAGATAGATAGATAGGTAGATAGATAGATAGGTAGGTAGGAAGATTGGTAGATAGGTAGATAGGTAGATAGGTAGATAGGTAGATAGGTAGGTAGGTAGATAGATAGATAGATCGGTCGCTGGATATATTATATAGAATTAATATATTATATATTTATATATAACACATGTGGTAAATCATAGTAAATCAAACATCTGGATGATTATATCACCATAGTTCACCAATCGTTGGCCATTCCAGGGGATGATCCTCCGTCCTTCTGCTTTTGCCCGCCATCTTTTTGTTTCTGCGAGCACCACAGCGACCGGTCAACGAAACACCTGACCCAGCCGGATATAGTCCCTTGAGCCACAGCACCAGGCCGAGACAAATGACGTGGTTTGCTGGTTTAGGATACCCTCTGGTAATCAAACGAGGCTAGCTCAAAAATCCTTTATAAATGGAGGGTTACGTGAGAAAATCATCAATGGGGGGATTTCCAGTTGCCACGTTTGCCGGAGGAATCTGGAGGATAATTAAGGTCAGGTTGATTTATCCATCCACATTACCAATGGCTGGTGGTTTGGGGTCGTTGTTTGGAATATCGGAAAACACCAGTCATGTCGATATCGTCGTTTTCAATTGAATGGGACCTAGTTGGAATGGAACATGCAAAAAGCACCTTTGTTACCCCCACTCACACAAAACCTTCGCAATTGTCTCATTTTCCCATGTTTTCTAGAATTGTCCGGTAAAAAGCACATTTCCTAGGTGAAGTTCCCAGCTGTCGCCTTACCATCCTCTTCTTCCAGAGCATCCCAGAGTTCATCGTCAGATGCCATCCCCCTCAGAGTCGGGAAATGGGTGAAAATCCAGACCTTCTGAACCCAGTCGTCAAAGAAATGTATATATGTATATACTGCATACATATGGGGTTGCGTCAAAATTCGGGCATGGATCGGCCCGTGGTGATCCAGACGTATGGATCGGTCTGGATCACCTGCGTTTTGGTATGGATCGGGGGTATGGATCGGCCTGTGGGTTCAGGGTATGGATCGGGTCTGTACATTTTGACTAGCAGCCGTATATACATAGTACATGTAACATGTATATGTGTACATACAATAATTCAATAGTGTAGTGTATGTATTATATATATATGCACACAGTCACACGGTGTGTAACAAGTTGCCACGAACCTGTGCATCGATATCTAATTATGGATGGATAGAAATTGTGGCCCCAAAAAATATCAAGATGGTTGCTAGCCCCCTAGCAGAGGTTGGTCAAAGGCTGGTTAAACCCCATAATATTTTATCTGCGGGTTTTCAATCGGGCGTAGAAATGCCACTAGCACCCACTTTGCAGATGTCCAAGCCCTAATCCTTCAGTTGGTGATGTAACAATATGTAACAAGTATCCAAATCAATACACATCAGAAGTTGTCAAAAAAATAGGGTATACCGCAAATGGTGATGGGGGAAATGATGATAAAAACTAGAAACGGACATACCCAAGAGATCCGGGCTCCCAGACTCCCGGCCCAGATCAACCCCGCAACCGCGGGTCGATGGACCAACGGACGGGGTGCAGCAATGAAATGAATCAGTCAAAATATGGTTGCCGCTCTCCTCAAAACGATCCCCGAAGTTAAAGGAATCATGGTTTTCCTGCCTTCATTGGTTGAAGTGGTTTCCATACAAATTCAAGCACTTTCAATATTTGACGGTTTGGGCGCTTCTGGTTTGCTGTGGCTTCCAAAGTCCTGGCAGTTAAACATTAAAGATTGCCAAAGTCTGCTCTTTTGGGAACAAGTTCTCAAAATTTTGACCCAGTCAGTTGGGAACAAAAACAATTTGGGAACAAAACTACCCAGACTTAGTTTAGCCTGCCTTCACGTTCGCAGCTCTTTCAGGCTGTGTCTTTTGTGGCTGTCGCATGCCATTGCTGTTCTCGGCGTTTCATTCATGACTTGTCGCCGAAAGAGGCTCTACGTCTGCGGTTTCAGCGCATCATTAAACATGGTTAGAATCCAGTTTGCCATCTGGAATATTCACACTAGATAGATAGATAGATAGATAGTTAGATAGATAGATAGATAGATTAGATAGATAGATAGATAGATTAGATAGATTAGATAGATTAGATAGATTAGATAGATTAGATAGATTAGATAGATTAGATAGATTAATAAGATAGATTAATAAGATAGATAGATAGATAGATAGATAGATTAGAATAGAATAGAATAGATTAGATTAGATTAGATTAGATTAGATAGATAGATAGATAGGTAGACAGGTAGATAGGTAGATAGATAGATAGATAGATAGACAGACAGATAGATAGATAGATAGATACGTATATATATATGTATGATTATAGAGGTATACATGCTTAGTACATTTGGGTGACTAACATTGATGAACAAGTTACTTATATGGATGCACATTCAAATAGTCCATGCCGCAAAATCATGTTCTGGTTTTTCTACAATGGACCGGGTGGACCAAATGGGATACCAAAATAAGGTTACTGTCTGGTAATCAAACGTTCTAAATGATTTTCCCGTTAAGATCTCCATGTTTACGGGATTTCAATCTGAAACCTCCATTTCCTTTGGGGATTTCCAAGTGCCCTGCCTGATTACCTGAGGGTAAACACCCATCCTTTGCGCTCCTTTGGTCTTTTGCAGCCTTTAGCCTTCCGGCCCAGTGCAATACTTTCACCATCAGCCGGGTGCCATCAGAGAAGTTTTCTATTGGCTTTAGAAAGCGACGTTAAGCACTAGCCTGGCTCTAAACCCCCCGTCCGCCCTTCAGTTTCATGGTGTTTCGGTGCTGCGAGGCCAAGGTTTTGGAGGCTTGCTAGCTGGAATTTGGAGCGAGGGCCGGTATGGTCTAGTGGAATCCCCCATGCATCAGACCCGGGTTCAATACCCGGGCGCAACACTAGGCGGACAGGCGGGCCACTACCCCACCCCTGCAGTTAAGGGTATGAGCTAGGGACTTACACGCTGGAGTTGGTGCTATCAGTAGTTTTTTGTCCTTTCAGAAACCAACGTTAGGCACAGGTGCCAGCCGAAGGCTCCGTCCGTCCTTTAGTTCCATGGTGTTTCGGTCCCAAGGCTTTGCTTCGGTGTTACGGAGCAAAGATTTGGAAGCTTGATGGCTGCAATTTGGAAGCAAGATTTAAGAGCAAACGAAAGCAGAAAGCAAGCAGCGAGGTGGAGCAAGACGCTAGAAAGCAAGACAAGGAACAAGAAGCGTGATTACGCTTGCCATCTGTCTCGGCGACATGTCTTGCCCGCTGGCGTTTAGTGTTTTACTCGAATTCTTCCTGCCGCCTGGAATGTTTTCACAGTGGTGCCACAAGTAGGGCGCGCATGTTCGTAGAGAGGGTGAGCAACAGATCCGCCGTGCGCGCGAAATTGATGTCCACAGGCAGAACGGTGATTCATGACTCCAGTTTACACTGGGCTGCGCCCAGTGTTGTTGCAAAATGGACATGTGTATTCATAGACGAGCCGTGCAGTTGTTTTGGGAGTGCTTGTATAGGTGGACATGGTGCGCCCTGTTCAGGTTCTTGCAATGGTTCGGCCGTGGCTGACTTGTTGTTTGCGCTTTGCACCGTCCGTGCATGATTTCGGACCAAACTTCGTCTATAGGATTACTTTTTGTCGCTGGCGTGCCTCGCGTTCTCGCAGTGGTGCCAAGCATTGGTTTGCCCGCCGCGCAACGCGACAAACTAAGGCCAACGCGGTGCAGGCATTGCATACCTGCGTTCCATTTTGCGTATATGCGTGTGATGTTTGCCAAGCACTGAACTCTGCCCTCAGAATGTCTGATGTCCTGATGCTCCTGGTGGTAACAACTGTGGCAAAGCCATCTTAACAAAACTGTCCATTTCTATATTTAGTTCTAGCAGGGTTCTTGTTCGAGACTTTTTCAACATTCACCCTCAACAACCCCACTATATACTGTACTAGTGCAGCATCTTTGAAACCATCCAGTTCAAAACCTTTCGTTGTTTGACCCCCACTTATACATGTCGATACTTCATGATACTTCCTTTTTCCCACTTGTGGCATCCAGAATAATCCGCCAACCCCGGCCAAACAAAGGGGAGCGCGCCAAGGAATAGGAGTCTTGACCCCTCAATAGCGAGGAACACCGCAACCACAACAGCAACCACAACAACCATAACAACCACAAGAACGACAAGAAGGCGCAATTTTGGAGTTTCGACGCAGTGCAGGAACAAGACCAGCAAACAAACCAGCCAACAGGACCAGCAAGCAAGACTAGCAAACAAAAGCAGCAAGCAAGACCAGCTTTCTGGCTTTTATACAGAACGAAATTCAGACGTTACGTTGGGCAGTTTTTAGGCGCACTTTTGCCGCTTCTGCATCCTTCACTGCCATGGGGATTTGCCGCTGGGAGTGATTCGATTTTTGGAGCCGCAGCCGTACTGGACAGAGACCAGCAAGCAAACCAGCCGGCAGGCCAGCTAGCAAGACCGGACAACAAAAGCAGCGTTTTCTTGTTTTCCGGGGTTGGCGGCAGGAGCGGCAGCCCTTTAATGTATACATATATATATACATATGTATGTACGAAATGCGGACGAAATTACTTGTCCGTTCTCATGCCATACAAAATTAGGGTCGTCACAAATCGATTTGTGCGTTCACAGGAGTCTCGGTATAGAGCCGTCCCCTATAGGTAATGAAGGTTTTGCACACCTCTAAGCAAACTAAGGCGAAGCAGAACTAAAGTAGTATTGCAATAATTTTGCCGGTGACTCATATGTATATCCCGTTAATACTGTGGATGGAAGAAATCCTGCACCACCAACCGGATGGCTGAAACCCTATAAATAACAGTGCAGGATTTCTTCCATCCACCGTATCCCAATAATATTCAATGAATATTCATCAATCTGGGTAAATAATAATAATTCACTAACCTGAAATAAGGCTTCTCTGGGATAATTCTCATTTCTAACCATGAATGTCCAGTGAAGATCAGTGAGGGAGAACAGTGAGGTCGTTATGTTTTACCCAGGTCATCTGCCAGCTGCTGAACATCACAGAGTCTTTTCTCTGCCAGGCTTTTCAGGACCTCCACAGCGCGTGGGGCCTGGTTCTGATCGCATGACGGGCTTGGCATACGAAGAGGGAACTAAATGTTCAAATCATGGCTCCAATCACGCAAGTTCAAACAGCACATCAAATAATGGAACTATGAACTATGTCATAAACCCAATTGGGGATGTTTGTTTTTTTTAGTCGACCATTTATGGTGAGTCCTTCTGGATAGTTTATCTTTAGGTTTTCCACATGGTTTCATGCAAAGAATGGAGCGATCTGGCGAGTATCTCCATCCATTCAAGGGATCATCCTGCACCATGCACCGATTCTTCACTGTAAACACTGTAAACATCAGGTCGTGTTTGGTGTCACCACCTTTGAATATCCATAACTAGATGACTTTTAAGATCCTCCTTACATCATGCCGTCCCATTTATAGCTGGTACATCACTGTTTCTGAGGAAAAGAAGAGAAGAGAGCCATGAAAAATATACCTATCCCATCTCATGAAACACTAGTTGGTTTCTCAAACGGTTTCCCAATTGCCCTCATCCTTTGGAATAAGAAAGCCTCCGGAGCCGGCACATAGATGTGGTCATGGTGGAATGCAGCAACCACATTGGCACCTGCTCAAACACGGACAGAGTGAGCTGGCAAGTCAGCAACAAACATAGTGACATCATGCAGGTGGGGAGATGGGGAAATAGCACATGATTAAGAAATAATCTTCACATAGATTAATACATAGATATAGACAGCCATGAGTCCATTTCCACTGCTTCTGAATGTTGAACATTGTTGAACTAGATATAAACAAAGATCTATAGATATACATACTATGGAGATTTAGATTTGGTTTTCGACTTAGATATAGGTATACATATATAGGTATAAGTATAGAAAAATATAGAAATATATAATAGACATAGATACGCATATTACCAACAAATCTGCACGGATATATCAAGATAATCCAAGATACGCTGATGGTTTCACCAACCAAACTTGCTGACATGTCACACAAGACAACTCAGTGATCTTGACCAACTATCAAAGGAAGCATATTCCGGCAGCTTGTATGCCAACTTCATGCGGTTAATACAATAATAAACCATCCCATGATTGATGATTTATACCACCCATAAAAGATGGTAAGTTTGGGGGACCCATAAGAATGGTAAACTTGGGAATGGTTTCTTCTTGTTTTAACCACATTATTCAACTTCACCCCTCATGGCTTTTGTGGGTAGTTCTTGCATTGTTCCCCAACTAATCCATGTCACATATCCTCAGATTGATCGTCAAAGAAACAATGAAATCACCAGTTTTGACTGGATCGGTTTATCATACGCAGAAATCCGAAGAAACAACAAGTCCTTAAGCCATCAAACATAAAGTTAAAGCTGTTGTTTGCCCCTGAGAAAAAAATGCATCACGATGTCCAGCATCATTAGTTCACTATCCCATCAATGAGGTCGTTACGTACATTGGAATGTGATAGAAATATAAACGATTTGTATGTGTCAAAGAATGATTCCCGATTATCAGATGGAATGATTCCCAATGTCAAAAAAAGGTTTGACCCAGACCATTTTTTCATCAGATCCCCGGAAATATATCCCGTATCTTACATTCTTCTAGCCCATTTAAGCCAAGCTAAGCCCCATTGATCCTGGGAGAATTGAGATCATCCCCAATACCGCAAAAATTGGCTAGCGGCTAGTCCCCGAACTAATCATCAACTAACCATCATGTATCAGTTATATCCACTTATATCCCCATACTTTGATGGTTAAAACATGTTAACACCCCTACTAAATGACGAAATAAACATCAATGAACCGGCATTTATCACATCTATGCCCAATCTTTTCATGATTAAAATCCAAAACACAAGCACATCGAAGTCCATCAGTGATGGTGAGATCCATGTTTTTAATATTCTAAAATGATGAAGGTGAAATCTCCATTCTTGCTGGGAATCATCAATCAACATGGTTTTTTCACCATGGATTCCCATTCCCGTCCGCATGTTTCCGCTAAGCCACTGAGGTTTGCATCGCTCAAGGCCTTGGCCACCGCAGCTGTGAGTCCCACCGCCTAAACGCAAACCCGTGGCCGTGGAAGCCATTCATGGTTAATGCATGTTGATATTATTTACAGTCTTGACAACTCCCGCGCCTTTGTTTTCCAAATCCAAAATGCCTGCGGTAAACAGGTACACTTCTGCTGTGATTTCTGCGTGTCATCCTTCGCACCTGACATGACAGACTCCCCCAATCGTGTTTACACGATTCGCATGGGAGAAGAAAATGAATTTTGGCACCCAGCCAATTGAATTGACTTGGACAAAAAGACCTAAAAAGGTAGGAACCTAAAATTGGTAGGCTCAAGGCATTTTATCCTTATGATGGTTTCGCCATTTTTTGTACATCTTTGACATCTGTGCAGGCGACCATCCTTTGCCTCTATGTTCATGTTGAAAAAGATTCCATGGGTTATGTAAAGTCGTTTCAGACCTTTCACCACCCAAAAGTGCCTCGCTCACTTCAGCTGCTCGCCGCTGCAACGCGTTTTCAACGCTGACGCCATCAGCAGCAGCCGCAGAAGAAATCTCCGCCACAGCGCGCAGGGCCTGCTCAAGGCCAGATACATCAGCCGCAAAGGCCTGCTCAGGGCCAGGGTCCGCAGCAGCAAAGGCCTGCTCAGGGCCAGATCCGGCGCTTGGAGATATGCCAGCAGCCGCATTCGAAGAAGCACCAAAGGCCTGCACAGGACCTACGCTTCCAGCGCTGCATGAAGACGCACCAGTGGCCTGCACAGGGCCAAAACTCATAGATCCCGTAGAGAGAGCCTGCACAAGGCTAGAACTGCTCAAAGTGCCAGCTCCACTTGAAGGCATCATCGCAAGGGCCTGCACAGGGCCAACATTTCCAGTGCCGCTTGAAGACGCACCAGAGGCCTGCACAGGGCCATAGTTTCCAGCGCCGCTTGAAGACGCTCCAGAGGCCTGCGCAGGGCCAGAACTGCCAAGGGCCTGCACAGGGCCAGAACTGCCAAAGGCCTGCACAGGGCCAGATCCGCTCGAAGCATTCAAGCGTCGCCTCAAACTTGATCTCATTTCAACATCATTTTCTCCATCATCTTTGGTAGCGGAGCTTGTTGATGAAGCTTGCATCTCACCAGAAGGCGTTGTTGGCGAAGACGACCACACCTGCAATCGGCGCATGCAGCATTGACCAGCTTGAACTGCCAGCTTGCCAGCGTAGATTGCCCCAAGGATCATCAAAACCACCGCAGCAATCCAAAGTGGATCCGCTTCATCTTGTTCTCCCTTGATTTCCAAAGCTTCGGCTTCGGACAAAAGAGTCTGCCCCACCAAAAAACTCATCGCAGAAGCTGCACCAGCATGAACACGCTCTCTGCTGCCATGGCTTCGCACTTGAGCAGCACGTATTTCAGGGTCTTCGGGCCTCAAAAACGGCGCATTCATGCCCAGGTTTTCCACAAAACGTTGAAAGGCAGCTCCAAAAAGAGGCTTTGTAAAACCATCAGCAACTAAGTCAAGGCCACGCACATGGATCAGCTTCCATTGGCCTCCAGCTGCATCAGTTTCATCCAGGGCTTGTTTCAAAAGACTTGCTCTGATGCGCAAGTGTCTTGTTCGCCATGAAGAGGCTGTAGTTCCATTGGCCAGTCCAATCGCGGCGATGTTGTCACCATAGATGACTTTCATCACAGCTGTAACACCTGTGAGCTCCATCACCAGAGCTTCAGCTGCTTTGCCAGCGATCAGGCCCTCACAGTAGCTAACCAGCTCAGCTTCAGCCGTACTGTGGGTGACAAAAGGTTGTTGGCTTGTTTGCCAACAGATCGGCTGACCACCAAGGCAAACAACGATCCCCTGGACGCTTCTATGGCCAGAACCTGCAGAGTAGGCGATATCGCAGAAGATCTCCAGGAGCAGGTCACTTCTTTTCACCTTCAGCTGGCCATGGGCACCCCAGTCATCAGGAACATGTGTTGTGTACCTCAAACCAACGCCAGGGTTTCCCTTGACGTACTTCATCAACGTTGTGCCGATCTGAATGGCTTTGACAGGAGCCTTTGTCATGAGCCTGCTCATAGTTGCAACTCCATGCGCAAGGTCAGGTCGTGTTCGGGAACTCAACCACAGCAAAGAACCAGCCATAGCTTGAGCTGTCCTGACATCATTTGGGTCAGGGCTTTCTTCGACTTCTTGATCCTCAGCAACTTTGTAGTGAGGATATTCAGCTCCTTCATCAACATTCCAACGTTGCAACATCTCCTGCTCGTACATGTGCTGGTTGACATGAAAACCATCGCCTTTGGCATCTTCAGAAATCTCAAAACCGCAGTACTTGAGAGGCTTGTCAACACCAGCCCACTCCACAGAAGACGTTGTCCAAACTCCAGAGAGAGCTTGTAGAGCGCCATGAACTGCAAACTCTTCACCAGTGACCAAGATGTCGTCCACATACACCGACATGAGGCCATTCCAGTGGATGTAGCCTGATTCATCCAGTTCTTCCAAGCGCCAAACGTTTTCATCTTTTGTTTTCTCAAAACTTCCAGTCAGCAACCCATTTGGACCTTGCCTTGTCCACTTCAGCGTTGGCAAAACTGCATCACGGTGAAGGCACCAGTCCCTTGGTGAAGCCTGGAGTCCGTACATTGCAAGCATGATGAGCCAAACTTCATCAGGTCCAGCGAGGCCCAACATTTTGTACACATGCGGCACTTCCATAGCTATGAGTCTGGAGTCTCTTCTCGGCGCATTGAGGAACGCCGTTCGTATGTCAGTTGAAGCAGCTTTCCATTTGTACTGAGCACTGATCCTTAGCATTGTTCGGATCTGTGTTGCATCAGCACCTCCAGCGTACGTGTTGTCGTCATTCGGTGTCTGGTAGTTTCCACACACCACTGCTCTTGAACGGTATGCTCCTGATCCAGCTTTTCTAGTGTGAACCATTTTTGCTGGAAGGATCTCCAAAGTTTTGTTCTGCACTTCAGCCATTTTTTGGAGTTCCGTTCTGGTCATTGGTTTGACAGCCTTTTTGTTGACGACAAGCTGCTCCTACTCAGCCTTGATGGATTCAGTCCAATCGGCAAGGTTTTCACGAACCTCTTTGTTGCTGACCGTTTTGGTGACCAAAAACTCATGAGTAAGCTGTTGTTGTTCTTCAGCTCGATCTTCATCCGCAAGCAGTTGAATTTGTTCTTCAACTTCAACCTTTTTAACCAGAGCTTTGTTGAGCTCAGGGAGACACCACATTTGTTCAGGGAAGGTGCCATCAAGCTTGCAGATCTCCTCGGCTATATAGTCCGAGACATTGTCGTGGATGGTTTGGAGGGCTTGTATCTTCGACATTCTAACCAGAACATTTTTTGATACATTTGAGGCCGCAGAGCTTGAGCCACCATCTCTGCTGTTAGGCGCCTCCCCCAAATCCTCCTCCACATCACTTTCCTCCTCCTTTTGATCATGAACTTCATCAGTTTCTGTTTGCCCCCCATCACCATCCTTTTCATCATCATGCCCTGGTCGCGGAGCATCATGAACCTCATGTTGTTCTTGAGGTGGATGTTGTTGTGATGGAGAAAGCGTTGTTTCCAAAGTCCATGAACCTTCAGAGGCAACTTCATTGTCAGGCGGCAGCGCAAACTCAAACACACTGCCAAACTTTGCAAGGATGCGCTTCTCCCCCTCAATGTGCAACATTGACATAGTGGCAATTGCTGGAGGCGGAGCTGTCTTTGATCTCAATCTTCGTGCTGGTACCCCATCACAAAAAAGCGGTTGAGCTTGTCTTTCATCACGTTCAGGGAGATATGGCAAAACTTCTCCCCCGGGACCAGCATCGACAGCTGCATTCATGCCATCATCTGCAGGAATCGCCACATCATCAGTGTAGAAGCACCTTTCCGTTGCAATTGCTTTGACATAGTATGTTGTGGTGGTTATAGAAGATCCTTCAGCGGGGCCCCACACCACAACTTCTTCTCGGCAATCACGCCATTGAGCGTAGCGATCTTGCCAGCTTTTCTTGAGGGCATAGGCTTTTGAGCCAAACCTCAGAAGTTTTCCAACTGGCCAGCCTGCTTGGTTGAGTTGATTGCGGAGACGTCTTTCTCCAACATGTCGCACCGCAAGAGGCCATCTGTCCAAAGGGCATGCTCCAGCAGAGATCACAGTGCGGACACCTTTTTTGATCATCCCAACTTCATTTTCAGCTCTGCCGTTTGTTTTGAAAGCACTGCCAGGTGTCATAGTTTGAACTATTCCACGGTCAAGACACCATTGATGGACAGGTTTTGCCAAAAATTCACGTGCACGGTCACTGTGCATTCGGTACACAGGGCAACCCAAAGAGCGCAAGCGAGCATAGATCTTGGCGATCGCTGGCAGCACGTTGTGCACATTTCGATCTGCAATGGGCTCTGCAAAAGTGAGGTTGCGCACAGTGACGTCCTTGGACTCATTGATGAGACGCATCCAAGTGTCGTGCATTCCATAGGCTGACTTCACGTCTTCATCTTCCACAAGGTCAGGAACCGATTCTTCTTGGAGAGGATCAGGTTCATCTTGTGCAACACCTGCAGGAAGACCTTGTTCATGTTGAGCTTCATGGCTCGCTTGTTGTTGATCTCGTTCAACATGTTGTTGAGGTGGTTGACCATCTCCAGGTTGTTGTTCTTGAGGATCACCAGAGAGCTCAGGGTCATCAAGGCCAGGCAAAGGGTGATCTTCCTCTTCATCTTGGTCAGGACGCAACAAGAGTGGTTTCCCCTTTTTGTTGACGGGGTATGTGTAAACTCCAACCAAGAAGTATTTGTTGGTACCAGGAGTTTGGTCCTTGCCACCAGTCATCCGACCGGACATGTCCAAGCTCAAAGTGAAAGTTTCCGGATGACAAACTCGGCGATGTGCTCGACTGCGACCTTGAGAACGTACACAGTGGCTGCAATCACGACGGGCCGGCATGTGGTCCTGCATGTAGTGTTGCTTCCATTGTTGAAGGGCAACATTTCCAATTGCAGCGACACCAGCAGGTCGGACATCATCATCGGCGTAAACAACGCCAACAGGATCTTCAGGTCCTTCACGTGGAGGCGCTTCACGGCGAATCCATCTGCTGATTGCTTCAGCAACTGCAGCCTTCAAACCAGGTGCCCAAGCCGCCCAAGTTTTTGACATAGCACATCTTTCACGCTGAGTTCTGGTAGCGGAGCAACTTCAGGTTCAGCTCCACGACCTCGCACATCTTGTAGCTGCATCATCTCATTCATGTTGATCAAGGCCAAGGTGGTTGGCTTTCGTTTTGGGTGTCCAAAAGGCCCTTGATCAAAGGAGATCAGCTTGGCGTTGTAGGCTTCTTGGAAGCTTTTCCATTCCTGAGTTCTCCACATTGAAAAGTACTGGTGCTCATCCACATCCTCCTTCTTGCGGTATTCCGCTGGGTCTTGAGGTTGTTCACAAAGAAATGCAGTTTGAGCTTGTTCTTTTGGACGCACTTCTTCGCAGAGGATGTACATCAGCATCAAACGGAGCCACAGAATTGAGTCATTGGTGACCAATTCAGCTTGTTGTGGAGTCAATGATGGCAAACCATATGGGTGATCTTCTGTTCGAAGAATTGGTGGACCATCATCTTTTTGAAACCTGAGAGCACTTGTTGTTCTGCATGGAGGGCCTCCAAGTAGAGCTTTGACACGTTTGCTGGCACACAAGGAAAGCAAAAACGCAAAGGTTGTTTCATCCAAAGCATTTGAAGGTGTTGAAGCTTCCAAGTCCACGCACAGCACCTCAGTGTGCTCATTTGACAAACGCCGCTCCCAGTAAGAAGCATCGGGTCCACTGTACATGTGGATGATCACATTCTTTGCCATCATGAGTCTTTTTCGCTTTCTGCGATTCCATGGAAGGTTCAAGCCGATGTTGGGGTCCGTGAGCACTGAGAGATCTGGGACCAGCTTCAACGCCAAATCTTCAGGCAAAGTCGGCATGACCTCCTTGAGCTTGACAAGCATTGCCATTTCAATGCTCATGTTGTTGCCAAGACCGGCAGCCCCTCTTGTCAAGATTGACTTCAAGGTCATCTTTTTCAGCTCTTGTTGAATTTGATGCTGTTCCAACACCGTCAGCAGCTTTGCCCCAAATTCATGAGCAACGTAGGGACATCCATTGTGAAGTTCCACATCGACCTTGTCTCCAGCTTTTGTGTAGAGATGGCACATGTGGTCTTTCCACACCAACTTGTAGTTGAGCTCGCTCAAGCATCCCATTGGAACGATCCAAGAGGTATTTTCAGGCCGAAGGAGAGGATCGGAAAGCAAAACTTTGGTGCCAGGCTTCAAACGGAGGCTTTCTGTGACACCATCAGCCAACATCACCTGAGTTCTTGTGCCCGACTGCCATTCTTCTTCTGAAGCTGCAGGACGTAGGCCATGTGTTGCACCAGAGTCCAGCAACACCATTTGAGCATGAGACTCCAACTTTGACAGTCGCATCACCTTCAGGTTGGGCATACGCAGAGACTTCAGCAACTGAGTGGCTTCTGCCAACAGTTCAGTGGTCGCAGGAGTGGCAGCTGGAGCTCCCCCCTTATCCACCTCCGAGGTTGCACTAGATGAAGTCCCAAGGGAGTTACTCTCAGCACCCAGTCCTGGACCATCAGCGCACGTACTAGAAGAGGTTTGATCAGTTGTTGAGCTTGCAACTCCACCATCATGACCTTTTCCAACTGAAGCTTGCTTGACAGCCGCTTTGTTGTTGGCTGCATTTTGATTTCCACCACCACGTCCTCCCCCCAAACCAGAGTCATTGGACGAAGGTTTGTAGTTGTTGCCATTGCCCTTGACTTTGCATTCAGTTTTTCTGTGATCTTTGCCGCCACAGATCCAGCATCGACTGTTCTTGTCCTCGATGCCCTCCCAAGAGTGAGACCATTTGCAGCTTCGTCCGGCTTTGCATCCAGTGTCGCTCTTGAAGAACTTGCATGGTTGCTCCGACATAGGAGTTGAGTGTCCCTTGCCGGACTTGTTGCCATAGTTGCCAGGAGTGCCTGGTTTTTGAGGTGAGTTTGATGCTTCAGCATCCATTTGTTTGAGCCTCACAGGTGTGCTCGCACTTGCTGTTGTTGTAGAGGAGGATTTCAGCAGACTCAGCGTCTCCGCCTCTGCAAGAAGACATTGGCTAAAACTCCATATTGATTGCTCCGTTGGACGTTGATCCAGTGCAAGTTGTTGTCGGCTTGTGGAAAGCCTGAACGCTGCTTGGGAGTCTTCCTTGGCGATCTGGACAACCGCAGCTTCAAGTGCCTTTATCAGCAGCACTCCATCAGGCAAACTTGCATCCACCTCCCTTGCCCTTGCAAAGTATCTCCGCCATGTTCTCAAAGAAGAAGCCAATTCCTGCATCGAAGATGCCTTTTGCAGTGAGGTCAATTGCCCCAAGAGGATTGCCTTTTCACCTGGTCCTCCTGGTTGATGCCGCACATAGAGGCGGAACAAAATTGCCGTACTGGTCAAATCTCGATCCACCACCAGCTCCTTTTGCTGCTCTTCGCTCACCGCCTTGAGCAACAACGTGACACCCCTTTGCTCCGTTCTGATGTAGCCACCTGCCAACAACTCATCAGGGAGACGAGGACAAAGTTGAACTCGCTGAAGAGGAGATAGACCCTTCCATTCCATGTAGAAGGCATACGCTTGTCGCACCGTTGCATCCCACCATCTTCCAGCGACATGTGACAAGTCCTTCATGATTGGCCCACAAAGACAAAGCCAATCTCCAAACTCCAGAGGCGATGCACCATTCGGCAATACAGGTAGTTCAGCTTTTCCGCCGCCACCTCCTCCAGAAGCTTCCCAAGATGCCGGCATAGGTGCGACACCCAAAGTTCCATGCCCTTGCACTCCACCATGAGGACCACCTTCTTGATGAAGACCATGAAGATCGCGCACCGTTGCTGCACCACGTAGATCTTGTCCAGGATGTAGTTCTCCGTGCAAAGCCCGATCACGTTGAGGTAGATCTGGAAGCCAAGCCCGATCTTGTTGAGGTAGATCTGGAAGCCAAGCCCGATCTTGTTGAGGATGTTCAGCATGCAAAGCCCGATCGCGTTGAGGAAGACCAGCATGCAATGCCCGATCACGTTGATGTAGATCACCATGCAATTGCGGAGCCCGACCGAGTCCAGGTAGATCTCCAAACAGCTGCTGTGCCCGATCGTGAGCTGATACTTCACCACGTCCACCATGCCAAGCCCGATCTTGTTGAGGTACATCTCCACTTCCACCAGATAGGGCTCGATCACCACAGAGCGGACGGTTGGCAGCTGCTGCATGTGACACATCAGGAACATGACATTCCGTTTTTTCTGCAAAACTACCATTCCAGTATCCAGATTGTCGAATTGCATCAGGAACCGAAACACGATTCAGAGCAGTTTTGAGGGACTGAACCTCCCTTTCTAACCACGTCTGTTTTGCTTCGCTAGCTGTCATCACATCCCCAGTGTTTTGACCACTCTGAGGTTTCCATAACTTGTCACCATTTCTCACATGCGGTTTTGACTCACATGTATCATACAAATTGCTGACAAAACTGGTCCCCTCCACAAGCGGCTCACCTGCTGCAGTTGGAAACGGAGGGATTGGTGGCACCATCGGCTCATCCACTGGCGGTGGACCTTTTGGCACTCTGGTCCCATTTGGTGTGAACCGATTTGAATCTCCTTTTTCACAAGCCTCAGGACTAACTGCACGTTCACGTGTTCTATGCCTAGGAGTTCTACTTCCACCCCTACCATGACGCTCAGCATGAAAGGTTCCATTGCCACTTGAACCCTCTACTGAAGTTCCATTCACAGCAGACCATGGTGACGAAGCATCCCCAGAACCGGCTTTCACTTGCACATGCTGCAATTGCCCTTTGAGACATTCCAACTCTTGCATGAGTTTAGAATTTTGACTTCTCAAAAACTCCACAAGCTCGCCTTCTAGGGCTCGCTGTCAGCCATCACTGCCTTCGTCCATACCACTACTTCCAGCAGATTTGACTTGACCTTGTGACAAAACAGGATCATCACACCCCTGCATCAGTCCTTCAGTCCTCAGCGCCTTCTGCTCCTTCACTGTGGGGCCAGTTGCATCCGGCATTTCGCTCGATGACCAGACACCTCGCCCTTTCCCAGTTGGTGCAGCACCTTCAGACTGACCTACCCTTCCAGACACTGTTGTACCTTGAGGACCCAATTCATCATCTCGAACTGGCAACGTCCTAGGCCTTTTCGCCTCCAGCAAACAGTCAGCCTGGACCTTTTCTGAGTGAAAAGGATTAACCACATCCAAGTTCCTGTCCCCCACTGGCATGGATTGGGACCTTGAACTGCCTTCCATGGCTATTGAAGAGATGGGTTGGGCTCATAACCCTTGAGAATCCCGCGCCTGTTTTCCAACCAAAAATGCCTGCGGTAATACAGGTACACTTCTATGCTGTGATTTGTGCGTGTCATCCTTCGCACCTGACAGAACTGTAATGGATTCCCCGAGTTCATTAGGACAACAATTTCCCGGCAGGTTTCGTCCGACCAAGCGGAAAGGCGCGCCTTGTGAGGGGCGAGATGTGGGGATGGATCAAACATGGAACACCAAAATCAGTCTGACCTGGCTGGTGGCAATGATGTGCTTCGCAATCCCAGCAAGGCCCAAAGATGTCCAAAGATACCCGTGAAGCAGCAGAGTAGCTGTTCTGGTGGGTGGTTTAAATGTGTCAAAGTTTTGTCAATACGCTAAATCAGTCCATCTAAATCCGCTCTTCTGAACGTTCAATACAATGTAATAGACTAGGACTAGCCCCAAATATTGCCATAAATGGATGACAAATGGATGATAAGTATCCCCAAATGGTGAATTCTGACCACATTTCCCATCCAGGATCCCGACCTCTTCTCTTACAATGGGCCATGTTCCATTGTTACAGCAAATGAGAGGGTATACACATCAAGAATCCCGAGAAATTCCGATCAATGCCAAGTCAAAATCCCATAAAATCTCATAAACATATCATAATAATCCCATGATATACCCTCTGGTAAACTAACATAACAATGGAAAATCACCATTTTCAATGGGTAAATCCACTATAGATGGGCCATTTTCAATAGCTATGTTAGTTTACCAGAGGGTAACTCCATACACATCGAATCCAGCGAATCAATCCGGTCGAATCGCTGCACTCGCTGCATTTCCATTGCCAGCTCCAAGCCTTGCCACGCGTAACGATGGCTATGTCTAAGGGATTTCATGGGGATTTCATGGTGATTTCATGGTGATTTCATGGTCATCTAAAGGACTTCACAAAGGAAACATGGTTTTTCTATGTTTTTCTAATCAACCAGTTTACAGTATATATATATATGTCTTTTTACAGGTCAGATAAGTCCGATAAGTTCTGATATACATACCTCTGTTGGCAATGTGCACGGCATAAAACACTTGCATTGTTGTGATTGTATCCTCATTCCCACCTCAAGCAGGGCGATTCGCCGGTTGACCTACAGCTCGATGCACACACACATGTGTAGTTGGGTTCGAGTTTCGTTACTACTTTTGAACATATCGTGCGCTTGGGATTACCTTAACAAAATGCCTGGATCAGGTGGTGCCAATCCCAAATCCCAGCATTGATCATGAAAGTTCTGTCTTCATAGCCGTGTTCGAAGCTCAGAGTTTGCATGTGGTACCCTCTGGTAAACTAACATAACTATGGAAAATCATCATTTTTAATGGGCAAATCCACTATAAATGGCCATTTTCAATAGCTATGTTAGTTTACCAGAGGGTATTCCGATTCCTTTACTTCATCAGTTGTCAGTGTGTTGGGACATCCAAAATTCCAGCGCTTTTGGATGGCACGCGCAGCTTCGCTGCTTCGCTGACATGGTCAATGTCTCAGAAGGGGAACGTGGCGCCTGGTGTGGTGCTTTCAGCTGTGACACCAATCCTGAGTCAACCATGGATCAGTAACATTTATATATACTTTTCCCTTTTAAGGGGCAAAAAATTGGAATCTATACCAGCATCCAGCCAGCTGAAACATGCAGTTTACCTAAGATTTTCTATCCACATGGCATCGCCAGATTTCACTCCCAGTGTGCCAGGACATACAGAAGCCCAAGTACGTTCCGCATCCCGCCAGGTGGGCTGCATCAGTTGATATGTCCAAATATGTCCCAACTTGATGCTGAGCAATCCTGATATACTCACATATATAATAATATATATATATACACATATAATCATATATATATATAATGTATATATAATATTATAGCTTTATTTCATAGTTTTATATAAATAATCCCAAAGAAAGGAATTGAGACAAAAAGCATTTCAAGGTTTGTGTCAATGGTTTATAGTTCCTTTGGAAGTTACAGCTGCGGACAGAATCATGGAATTCTCCGAAATGCTAAGCCTGTCAGGAAGGCCCAAACGCTACTGACCGGAAGTTTACAAGCTTACATGTACTGTCAATGCGTGACCTTCATCATTGATCTTCCTGATCCACAAAATCCCGCATTGATGCAAAGGGTATGCAAGATAACATCAGGCGTGCCTCAGAACCGTCCGAGACAGAAACCCGCAGAAACCACTGTAAATATCTGCCAGGAAGCAGACATAACATATATTGACCCCCTCCCTCCAGTAAAAGGAGCTATGCAAATATGCAGCGTCTAACAGGGAATGATAAACAGATATAAACAGATGGAGTCGAAAAATGCGAGAGCCAACCATGGCGCGCCATTCTCCCTCAAGTCTTTCCCGATTGATCTTGCTGGTTGGAAAGTGGATTCTGGAAAACAAACAGATACAAACAGCATATACTCTAAGGGTCCATGGTGGCACTCGGTCTCGCAGGCCCCCTCGTGCCACCCCCAGGACAGGGGGGAGCCGGTGGTGATTTTTCAGGGAGCGGCGAAGGGTAGCTGCGTAGCTATGGTTGTCTCCATATGCCACCTGAAAAAATGGGGAGCCAAAGGGCTATGAATTGAGTTTCCCAACCAGATGGTTGCCAAACCCTACTTGATGATGCTTTGAATCAGATTTTGGATGATCAACTTGAGATTTTTGAGGTCAACAACTGCCAAAAAAAGGGGTCGCAACTGGGTTCCACGTGCAAATATGCTGAAATATTATATAAATCGATGCATGCAAACTCATTTTGATATTTGCACAAACACACACACACACCCACTATTACAATACAGATAAATACGTAGATACATACATAATAATAGAAAACACGTAGATGAACAAACAGATGAATAAACACACACACACATTATATGAATTATATATATAATATTAGAGGCCACACACGCACATTCATATATATACATTATAATGTCAACCCCGGATTCCCGGATTAATAAACCATGGTTTACTAATTAGGGGGGGTATTCCTCCAATAGTCATAATCATCTAATACTCAAATGGTATCCTCCCAATTAAGCAGCCTAGGGGTTTATTAATCCAGGGTTGACATTATCACTTACACATATCATATGTCTATACGAATGGTCACCGTTGCAGGGCATCAGCCCCCCATGACGAGTCCTATGCGGCGGCGTGACCCTGAGGGCATTCATCGTTTCAAGACTTTGGTCATTTTAAGAGAAACCAATGGAGAAACCAATGGAGAAACCAATGGAGAATCACAGGAAAATAGAGAAGCCAATGGTTTCGGGGCACCAATTTTAACAACATGCCGCGGAAACCGCTAATGTTGCTGTGATCTTGCTGCAAGATCAGGGCTTGGCCAGTCTTGGCTGTGGCATCAGACCAATTAGCATCATCTATGGCGTCCCAATTTGGACCACCTCCATTCAAAAGGCCATGGAACCCAAATGGATAAGCAAGGCTGTATTATTACACGATGGCTACATCGATGTTTTTACACATATATATATAATTATCACACACACACAGATATATATATATATATATACATACACCATGGTTATATCATGTTATATCTACATCATTACCATTCGAAACTGGATGGTTACGTCATGGCTATATCTAGGTTGGACTTCCGTAGGTTCAAATCCCCATGATGGACCCGAGGCTCCGCCCGCCAAGCGGCCCCGAGCTGTAAACCCCGCTATGGCGATGCTGGGATGCCCAGCAGCTGATCTCACACTTGCAAATGGAAACAAAGAAAAACTTGTTTCTCATTGATATTCATATGGAAACATATGACATCTCCGGGAGGAATGGATCTTTCCATGGATTTATTATACCCCAGGCATACCATGGCATAACTGAGGCAGTTCCCAGGCCTTGCTACTGGGATGGGAGGCTGCCGGCCGACGACTGGGCTGGGACGATTTGTGCCAGTTTCATATGGTGGAAAATCATGGGGGGTTGGGAAAAAGATTTTGTCCAGCATAAAACGGCCATGAACTTTTGATGTTTGGGGGAAACCCATTTGCCTGATGTTCAAAGCCTTTTTTGCAGGTGATCCAAACATGGTAGGGAGATGTAGGGAGGGGGCGGCTTGATCAACCTCTGAAAGCTGCATCGAACTGGCCCAGAATGGCTCAAGGATTCATTGAGACATAAATGTTGAGAGCTCGGCCTGAGCTCGGCCAGAAGCATCAGAAAAATGATACTGCAACCGAGCTCCAGCTACAAGTAGCGGCAACGGGATGTGTGATTGACCAGCATCATTTCGACATGATCTTTTGTCTCAATTTCCGGGTGACCCAGCAGGTGATATCAGGTGATCTGCTTGCTATTTTCAGCACAGATTCCCAATCCAAATTCCAGATTTACAGCATGGAAGCGGGCCCTACCAGCCATGCCCTGGCCCTGGCTGCCCTGACCTCAGCGCGCAGCGCCCTGCACGCCCTGCATAGTGCACTGCAAACGTTGCGGCAGAGGGCGTTGAAGCGGGACTTCGTGGGAAGTTTGAAGCAGCTCTCGCGCACGGAGCCGGGAGACTCAGTACAGTGCGGTAAGGGACTAACAGAGAAAGCATGAAGCGTATACGCTAACAGTGCATTGAACATGCGAATTGAGTTTAAGTATAATATGTCACTAATAGTTTATATCCTTTACCAATTACGTATTGTAGTGTAGACTGTATACGTACA